TTGTAAGCTTAGAATACTTAACTTTCAAAAGATTGTGTGATTAAGTCTCTGTATGTCAAGTGAATTCCTTTGAAGCGTCTTATAAATGTGATTGTTCCTCTTTCAGTGATCTAAAGAGGAGGCTATATGTCGCTCCCTTTAAAATTGTTGGACTGATTTCCCCCCCCCCCCATGTGAAAATGGTAATATATCATGCATGAATATATTTAGTCTTATAGCATTACTTTGTTTTGGAAAATAACAGCATTTTTAGGGTATGTCTACACTGGAAAAAAAAATGTGTTCTTAACTTAGGTTGGCTAACCAAGGTTAAGAAGAAACCTGGGTTAGGAACACACCTTTTAAAATAGCATTGTAGCTGGAGTAACATGGGCTGCTTAGCCACCTAAGTATCAGCCCAGGGGTCTCGGCATGTACATATTTGCAGAGGCTAGCCTGAGCTGCTTCTGTGCTACCATGGCTATGCTGCTGTTTGTAGCACGTTGGCGTGGGTACGTCCAGGGCTGGTGCAAGGATGTTTCGCGGCCTAGGCGAAACTTCCACCTTGCGCCCCTCCCTCCCTTGGCCTAGGGAGCTGTGCGGCAGCTCCCCACCCTCCCCCCGCTCAGCACGGGGGGGCTGTGCGGCACCTCCCGCCCCTCCCTCCATCCCTCTGCCCCGGGAGCTGTGCAGCAGCTCCCCACCCCAGCTCACCTCTGCTCTGCCTCCTCCCCTGAGCACACTGCCCTGCTCTGCTTCTCTTTTTTCCCTGGCTTGCGGCGCCAAACAGCCGATTGGCGCCGCAAGCCTGGGAGGTGGGAGAAGTGGAGTGGTGGCGATATGCTCAGGGGAGGAGGCGGAGCAGAGGTGAGCTGGGGTGGGGAGCGGTTCCCCTGCATGCCAGCCCTGCCCAGTTACTTGCTACAGGTGGCCCTCCCCACGCCCCCCTGCCCCAGCTCACTTCTGCTCCACCGCCTCCCCAGAGTGCACTTTTGGCCACCTCCAAACACTTGGCGCCCTAGGCAGCTGCCTAGTTTCCCTAGTGGTTGCACCGGCCCTGGGTACGTCTATGCAAACTATGAATCATTTCCCTAGCTCCCAAGTATAGATGTTGCCTAAGGGTACGTCTACAGTGGTGCAGCTGCACCTCTGCAGCACTTCAGTGCAGACACCACACCAACAGGAGGGCTTCTTCACCAGATGTGCTATTTCCTTTTTATTTCTAAAGGCTTATCTACAATGCACATGGAGTTATTTGGGAATAGCTATTCCCACATAGCTCCAGGACACTTTTATTTTGGAATAAGGCTACCTTGTTCCTGTTTAGTATGGGTTAAGCTAAACAGAAACAAGGCTGCTTTACTCTGGAAAAAGTGAGTCCATGCGTGGAGTTATTCAGGAACAGTTTTCCCTGAATAACTACATGTATAGGCAAAAAGAAAAGGAGTACTTGTGGCACCTTAGAGACTAACAAATTTCTAAGGTGCCACTAGTACTCCTTTTCTTTTTGCGAATACAGACTAACACCGCTGCTACTCTGATACATGTATAGGCAAGCGCTAATGCTAGGAATGGCAGTCCATAGTGATAGGATCTATTCAAGTTACATTTTTAAAAACTAGCTCGTTTAAAGGGACAAACTTGAATATCCTAAAACTGCCTTAAAATATTTTTCTGATAAAGCCCCCTTAATTGGTAAATCCTGACATTTATTTTTTAAATTAATTTTGTTTTGAAATAATTATCTTCTCTTTGTTGTTGCTGCTGCTGCTTTTAGAAAGGGACTTTTGAGGTGGGTCTGAGTGTAATGCCAAACCTGCTCAAGACAACCAGTCAGCTGCTGCTCTTTTCCCCCACCCCCTCATGTTTGACTGCTGCCATATCAGCTTCAGACTTACTGTTGCTGTTACTGGTACACAGGCCCTTGCATGAGCTCTGTCCCAGAGCAGTACAGGAGAGTAGTGAATCATCATGCTAATGCAGTGTTTCCCAAACTTTAGAAAGCTGCCTTCCCCCCTTCAGGAAAAGGAAACCAATCTCTCACCCCTTGGAGACTCCGCCTGTCCTTTGGGGAAACAGCATGCTACTGCATGAGATCAGGCATGCAACTGACAAACAAAACAATGAAACTGCTTTCACACTGCACAAACTGCTGTCAAATGCACAAAGTAAAACTGAAAAAAATGGAAGAAGAAAACTACTATTCTATCAGTTAGAGTAATCCTGGAAGTTTATTACTGCAGTATGTACCAAATCTTCCCCCCTCCCCCTTTCCTGTTTCTTTAATCCCATTATACACTGTTGCATTTTGGCTCTGTAAATGGTGCCAACTTGTATCATTGCTCCAGCTGTCCTAGGTTGTTTTATGTAGTAAATCTGTTGGGAGGGTTATCAGATCTTTGTATGATAAAGCAGAGATGACTTAATTTGTATGCTGTTGTATCACAAAAACAATATAGCATGCTTATCATATATGGAATTAAAGTAATTACCATTAAAGCTGTCTTTGCATCAGTGCTTCCTAGAGCCTACAGATATTGATGGCTTGGTAATTCAAGTAATAAATGAAAACGTTATAAGTCTTAATGGAAGTCTGGAATAGGCATTATCAGTATAGCATACAAAAATGTATAGCATCCTCTGGCAACTCTGAATTATTCTTTAAAAATATATATCTTGCAAAGGCATGAAAAATCCTTGACAGTAGAACAGTGGCTCAGTCAAACTTTAAAATTTATTTTTAACTTTTTCAGAGAACTAGTTTTTATATGGTGTTTTCATAGTTTTGATGTTTGATTAAAAATGGAAATGCTTGCTTTGATTAATTGTCATATTGATTTCAATTCTGAATTAAAAAACAAAAAAAACAAAGCACAGCCCAACAGTCCCAGCAGTAACTACACAGAGCCTTGAGATTGTTAAAACTGCTGAATCATTTAGGAGACAGCTGAATTACTGTATAGTATAGGGTTGACAAGTAGAGAGACTACACTGATGTTCTAGCAATTTAAGGTTTTGATTTTTTGTTTTACACTGGCAAAGATACAACCGTCACAATTTAACAATAGTAAAAAAGGAATAGTTAAGTAGAATTGAAATTGAAAGAATTACTTTGAACCGAAATAGAAATATTTGAATTTAGCAATTAATTACAGTAAGCTGACGTAAAGTGCATTTTTAATGTACTATAGGCAATTGTCCACAAAGATGCCTGAAACAACCATGTTTGCTTGATCTGGGTGGGATTTATTCCGCAAGTAAGAATTTTAATTTAATGTGTACTGGCTAAGAAAACTAGTTGTCTGTAGGGTCAAGGTACTGACATCAGAGGCATTTCTGAACAAAGATGTTGCAGTTGGTGGGTGGATGGCACTGCTTTCAGCTGTTGTATGAGCTTGCATAAATAGTATCTCAACTTTAATCTTTCGGGTGTTCAGAGGTAGTGTGCATATTTCCATTTAACCCCTGGACACTTGCCGGCATGTATGACCCTTTAACAATTCCTGCCCCTCTGTCCATCCTTGGCACCTTGGCTCCAAACAGTCTAGGAGTAAAGCCAGTAACTTTGAAGTTGTAACTGTGTTGGCTACATCTATTAAGCAAAAATATTTTCATTTAATCAATACAAGGTGTCTGTTATGTTTCCTGTGTAATATGTTGATCATTAGTGAAATGTAATTCACCTCCCCAGTACGAGATGTTTTCTTTCCTTTTGTGTGTGTTGTTCAATCATGGTAAAATATAGGGCAAAATGAGAACTGAAAAAGATGATTAATGGACTTTGGCATCAAGAGTAAAACTTGTTTTGTTTTGTTTTTTTGCAAAAAGCAATTTTTTTGCAGCATATTTCAGCAAAGAAGAGTGTGGTCTTGACTTGTATTTTAGGATAACACATCTTTTAAGTAGTTCATCTATTAAAAACTGTTGAAATATTGGCTCTTATCTTAAATTTTGTGAGTGAGAAAAGGGCAACCAGGGCCCAATCTGATTAGAGCCTTTGGGAGCTACCTCAGTATAATGACTGATATGACTTCTGCAGTCCTACAAGCTTCCTGTGTTTCATGAACTGTAGTTGGCAAGGTACTTTATTGTGGCTTGAATATCTACTTCTGTCAGTAGGGAATCATCTGTCAACCTTCGTGCAGTGATATTTTCTGCTAATTCTATCCCAGTTCTGGACTTTTTTTAGAGGTGAGGGAGGCACTTGGACTTTGGAGGTGCTTTTTTGACTAGCTATATCTAATTCTCTGTCTCTTTGGTATAAATTTAATCATGATCAGACACCACCATGGGAAAGTAACAAACACAAAGGAGGGCCAAAGCAAACTGGAAAGTGACCTGGATACATTTAGACAAATAGAGGCAACAGGAAGATGAACCTTCGCTAGTAGTAGGCTTGGTACACACTTAAAAGCTGTGTTGGCATAGCTTGGAAATAAAAAGCAAAACACCCCATACCAACATAGCTATGCCAACAGAAACCCCAGCATAGATGGGCCTATGTTGATGAAAGAGGGCTTGTGTGACATAACTAACGTCATTCAGGGAGGTGGTGTTCCTAAACCAACAAACTCCTGTATGTGTAGGCTTAGGCTACGCTGACATAGCTAAACCAGCATAGGCTCCATAGGGTAGACATACCCCTAACGAACGTAAAGCCTTATGCACAGGGAAGGAACTAAAGGAATGTATAGAAAATGGGTTGAGCTAACTAAGCAGAAACATGATTGTCTTAAAGCAAATTTTTTTCATCGTGTGTTAATACTCTAATATTCCTTTTTCATGTTACCCAAGTATTAAAGTTCCCTCAGAAAAGGTGTGAAACCTGCCCAGGGCGAGATGGCTCATCCAAGGAGCTTTACTTTAAGTGTTCCAGAATCAAGGAAAGCTTGAGCTACTGCTCTAGTTTGTGGCTGAAGTAACTGAAGTCCATAGAAATATTCTAATAAGATAACTTAAACTGCATCTTAAGCAGTATTGCCTTATTGAACAACTTTTAATTTATATTATTTCTTATATAGCAAACTTTGGCCTGTTCCATTTTAACGGCTTTGTTGAGCGAGTTCTCAAGTTCAAGTAAAACCAGCAACATTGGACTAAGCATGGAGTTCCATGGTAACTGCAAACGAATATTTCAGGTAAAAAAATAAAATAAAAATAACGTATGCTAATTATATTTCTGATAAATAGAAATGTTAATAAAGGAAAACTTTCATGCACCAACAAATGCATTAACGATTATGGTATGTGCAAAAGTCTCCTGTATATTAGAAATTAAAATCAATTCCTTGTTTAGTAAACATCTTAGTAATGTTAGGAATATTTGTTTCAAAAAGTGTAATGCATTTTTGTCCATTTTATGAATATAGATCTATGAATCTATACACAGTACGAATCTTAATTCCCTGTCAACCAATAGCAAATAAAACTAATACTCTTTGGAACAATGATAGTCTTAAATATAGCTTTGGTTAAAAGCCAAGGAAAGCCATGCATTTAAAAATATTATTGCAGATGGTGCAGTCTGGTTGTCTCAGATGCATTGTTTGGCTATGGATAAATGTTTTTGTGAAGGCATAGCTTTAAGTTCTGTGACTGTTGTGGAACAGCTTATCAACTTCTTCCATGCCAAAGACCAAATCCCTCCTCCTCTACCAGTTGTCAGAGAAATGTATGACCAGTTTTTTTCTCTTAATGACAAATATTTATAATTAGTAAGATTTAAGCTTTTTTTTTTTTTTTTTTTTAAGTATTACATTGCATAGGTAAAGGCCTTGTTTCTGTTCAGATATAAGAAATGTTCAAAGTTAATGAAAGAATCTCAGATTTTGTAAAGAAAATTTAATTTTATTATTTCTCACTATTTGCCTGATCAAGAACTTCTTACTTCATGAATGGGAGACTCCATTAATAATACGTGTATTCTTCCTAACACTAGGAAGATGACCTTCGGCAGATCTTCATGCTAACAGTGGAGGTACTACAGGAATTCAGCAGACGTGAAAACCTCAATGCTCAGATGTCTTCAGTGTTTCAGCGTTATCTTGCACTAGCCAATCAGGTCTTAAGCTGGAACTTTCTTCCTCCAAATTATATCCTTTTAATGTTTGAACCTTTGCTTCAGCTAATTAACTTCACCTGTACTTGGTAACTGGAGTGTTTGAAAAATGTAACGTTTAGAGAATTTTTTTTCAAGTGGGGGTAATTTAGACCTTTTTGCTATGCACTCTACTGGTCACTCCCATATTTGCTCATATTTACTATATACACACAGTGTTATTGCTGTTTTCTCTTTAAAGTTGTAAGTATTTGTCAGAAGGGTAAAATTAGCTCATAGAAACAGCAGCTAGTTATGGGCTGCTGGATTGTCTGGCAGATTTTGGGATGGTGCAGAGTGGAAACTTTCATCTACTGCTTTAATGTGAGACTAGGCAGAACCAGCAGGGATAGATCAGAGCCCTTGTTTTGCTTGTAAAGCTTCTCACTGTGGATCTGTCACCTCCTTCTCGCCACCAAGAAAAGGAGAGGGTGATGTAGAACTAACACCATCTAAGAATTAATCCCTCTGGCTTCTTCGGGAGCTAGAAGAGAAGTTCTATACTACTTTTTCCATGGGCAGGAGAAAAGCATCTTAAGATCCCACCAAGATAACCATTTGTCAGCAGACAGGCAGAACAGACTGCACCTGGTACACTTCCCCTTCCTCCTGACAACCTACAGGTTGCTTTAAGACAGTCCCTTAGCCCCTCATTCCTCTGTGTGATAGGTTGCTGATTTTGGGATCCCAAAGAAGTGGGAAGAGATTAAAAGGGTAAAGAAGAAGGGAGGGACTATAATGTGGGGACTGAAAGGGGAAGAGGCATGGAGGGAGGGGGAAGGAATGAGAGAAGAGAGATGCCTACACACACTAGAAGAGAGGAATAAAGATGCCCACATGCACATATATAGACTAGAAGAAAATCAGTGTAGATATGGTAAACTGCATTTTGCATTTATCCAACAAAGAGTTAAATGGCAAAGCTTCACTGCCAGGGGTGACTTTTATCTCTGACTCATAAAGCTGTTTTAAATCCTTTCAAATCCATTTGCATCGAATGACATACACTGCAAAAAAACTCAGATGTTATACCTGGATCCTCTGTAAGGACTTTTATTTCACTCGCAGAAATATTGTTGGTTGTGGGTGATAAAAACATGTTGTAGGGGTTGTTTTGGCCCTGATTTCTGGGATGTGTGTACCTGCTGTACAATAGATAGTAAAAGTGAGATTTCCATGCTTGAAAGTGGACATTCTTAAGGTCTTGTCTGGAAGGCTGAGTTCGTATTATGACCCCTAAAGTTATAGGGAAAGTACCATGATTTAAAAGAAAACACCCACGTGCAGTTCTGTTGAAAACCACTGAATTCAGACTGGATTAATGGGCCATATTCAGCCCTGGTGTAACTCAGCTAAAGTCAGTGAAGTTAATCCAGAGATGAGGTTGGTCCAAGGGCTTTGAAGACTGATTCTGGAGGCCAACTGCTGAATGGGCTGAGGTTGTGTAAGGAAAATTTGGGATTTGAAGAATATTGGATATCTTTTGGGATCACCTGTTGCAATTCGACAGTGTCCACAGAAGAGGGACATCTCTATGCTGTCTTGTGTTGTGAGTTTTCTCACTGGTGTAGCTTTACCTCAGTACAAGACCCTAGTGGAGATGAATACCACAGCTGGAAACTGGGGTATGCTGCACCACCAGTGCAAGTCATAATTTACATGAGTGCTGTCCATCTGCACTGTGGGTTTGAAATGATGCAGTTACATTGGTGCAACTACACTGATGCAAAGAAAATTGGAGAATTAAATTAGTGACCTAGCTTACATTTTTAGCTGTATGTAATCAGAAAATGGCTTGTTCTGTGCCAGTAAATAGGTGTTAATTGAAACAGATAATCAGGCCTTATCACTGGATTAGTACTAGCAATATTTTCAGTCACTTGGATACTTTCAAGAAACAGTAGCTGGTAAACTGTATTTTTATAATCAAAGGGAAGAGAGAATTAAGTGGGTTTTTTCCCCTCTGCTGGGCATTACATTTTTATATGAAAAGCATATTTAGAATAATAATTAATTAAATTTTATTAAGAAAACATTAAATAATTCCACCAGCGTAATGTCTTAATCTTTAATTTAAAAAAAATGTGACAGTTGGCCATAGGTCTTGAACATTTGGTCCCCAGTTGTTCGGCCTGAATGTGACTGCACTTTTAATACATCAAAATACATTAAATGAAACTTTAAAATTTTTGTAGCAGATGTTCTCTTCATTCTCAGACAGTTAGCAGACCTCAGAAATGGACTTGTACAATCATCGGGTGTGTGTGTGTATGTTGCCATAGCATTTTGTACTTCCCTCGGCAAAATACACTGGTTATTCCTGTGTTCATCAAGGACAGACTGAAGTTAATTTGCAGTAGATATCTGTTATCTCTAGTTAAATGATTATTGCATCTTTAAAAGAAGTGGCAAAAATGTGATGAACTCAATACTAATCAAAGAGAGTTTTAATCTTCAAGGGTCATATAATTTAGTGTAATCTCTTAAGAATTGTATTAAGACAAATTACTTTTAGTCACTGCCTAAAAGTGTTCATACTGTAATAGGATGCTCACTAGTTTGCTTAGCTAAATGCTGTTTCTCACATGAAGCATCTGTATGTCACAGATGGCACATGGCAGCATCATGGTTAAATTGTAGTACTAGTGATGGCAAGAGCTGGTTTGTGAGATGCTGCTTCTTCCATCTCACTTTATAACATGCAGACAATCTATCAATTGTTATTTTTATCCATTACCTCCATGAATACTATCTACACAGTAGTTCACCTGGTGTTTATGAATGCTTGAGACATTTCTTGGCAGTGCTAATTGTAAATTATGATAACATAGAATTCCTATTTTTTGCTAAGAATGTATGGCAGACTGCAGTGGTATGTTGGCTTCTGTAGCATTGCTTTTTTTGGTACTGATACAGCATTGTTTATTAGCATTGTTTTGTTTACTTGGATCAAGCTGGTTCTGATCACTTTTTTTTTTTTCCTTAATTTTTAAATTGACCTCGGGATACTGGATAACTCAGGACTAGTATTGTGCTGTATATCCATCGCTTTCATAAATTTGCCTCTGCTGATTCCCACTCTGGGAGCCACATATTATATCTAAAACATCCCATTTCAGAGCTATATACCATTGGCCCATGTGTATCTTGACATATGCAACTAAGCTGTCCTTCGTGGTCCCCTTGTAACCCATCTCTCTCATGAAATTGCCTCTGCAGATCCTCCTGATTTCTCTACAGTAAGTCACGTGCCTTTAGTTGCAAGTTATGAAACCACTGATAACAGTAAAATCATGAGGGGCCTGACTTTGTGATTTGTCCACAGATCCAAAAGTTCTTGAACAGAGAGCATAAGATTTTTGTCGTCCTGTCTCCCCCCAAAATTGTGTTCATTTCTTTGTTAGCAAATTCAGCCATGGAACTTCAGACTCATTAAGACACAGATTTTTATAAGTTTTAGTTAATAGGTTTAGTTTAAAGTTTAACAATAGTTTAGCTAGTAGTTCTACAATAATGATTGCTTTAGTGCTACTTTTTTTGTTTGTTTTAGATTTAAGGTCTGCATCTTTGGAGGGCTTGGGTCTCTTCCATAGTGAATGTTGAGATGGGATCTGGGTTAAGACATCTGCTTCTTTTTAGTAGCATAATGGTGCAGCTATTTAGCTGATTGTCATAGTTGCCTTCAATAGAGCTATGGCAGTTTACACCAGCTGAGAATCTGCCTTTGTCTTTAATGGTTCAGCATGCCTATTGCCTTAAATGCACAAGTGAGGGACATTCTCCTTGAAACTATTCGGTGGTTTTTATTCCTTGAGCCACGGTAAGATCTTTAAAGGAGGCTTTAGCACTCCGATCATTGTCTCTGAAGACAGCTGGAAACATCTATCACTAAATCTAACAGAGCAGTCAGAGAACCAAATGGAATGCTCTAGAGAACATTGTCCAGAAGAAACCACCATAAGAGGCCCTAACTACCAGGAGAAGAGAAGAGACATGTAAATATAGCAGTTGTATGTGAGCAAGACAAGTAAGGCCTGGTTTAACCCCCCCCCAAATCATCGTGAGCCAGTCTGTGATCTCTGAATTGGTTGTTTTCAGCTTAAGAAGATCTCCAGGGAGCCCAGCATGAAAAGAACAACCATTCAACATGTGTACAGAATTCTCCACAGCACCACAAATTCACAGTGCATTCCCCTGTATGCCCCAGCCATGACTGGTCTTGATATAGTGAACTACCCCACACCTGAACCTGTTAAGCTGACTCTAGAGACAGCTGAGAGTCCAAAGCCAGGTAGCCAGTCATATGGCTTGATGATGATGTAGGAGTTCCTGGTAGTGGGAGAGGCTCTCTCCCATTTGGTCTGGCACAGTGAACTGATGATGTCAACTGGATGGAAAGTGTGTAAAACTGTCCAGGTAGGATTTCTGCTTTGCAGTCAGTGGTGGAGTCCATCCCATATATCCCTGAACAGTGCTCAGTGTGGCATTTGCTGTACATTGTTGGTTGGTTTTTTGACTGCATTCAAACACCGAGTGTTAGGTGGAGGAACATTGGCTAGGACTAGGAATCATACAAGTTTTGTTGGTTTCAACGTGCCTGTAATAATGAAATGATTCAGCTGTGTGTCCACTAGTATAGTGTGGGCAGAGTTTAACCAAACTGGGGCACAATATTCTCCAATTGAGTAGCAGAGAGTTAAGCCCTGAACTATGTAGAGTTTGTGTATTGACTCCAAGTGGGCCCTACCACTTTGTTCAGTAGACAATCTCTTTTTTTCATCTTCTGAGCTACTTTAGTGAGATGGTATTTGTATGTAAGTGTGCAACGTAGGGTGACCCCTAGATTACACTGACTTGGAATCCTGTGCCAACCATGAACCATTCAAAAAGATGTTAAGCTCAAGTTGGCGCTGAGCATGGTGTAAGTGGAAGCATATTGACATGGTCTTTGATATACAGTAGGACCTCAGAGTTACAAACTGACTGGTCAACCAC